TCCTGCGGATAAAATACCATGACTGGCACCATGGCACAAACACGTGAATTTGACTTAGGGAAAAGCAAATGTCACCAAAAGACAATGGTGTAATTACACCGTGCTCTGGCCATCCACTGAAAATTGCAGGCACTTTTTTCAACCTGCTTATTTTCTATGCTAGTTCTTCCGGCTATCATGTAACGATATATAAGATCATAGTGTTTAAATGCGTGAGGAAAATCTGAGGGAACAGAGACACAGCTCACAATCATGGACACAAGTCCAGGTTGCTGGATATCCCCAGTGAAGAAATATACTTTGATTTTAAAATAAGCTAAAATGGCTAGTTCATTAATTCAGTTCCTTTTGCTGCTAGAGACGAAATGGTCTGTGAAGAGCAGCCTGGCAAAGAGTTTACAGCAGGGAGGCTTGTGTGGAGAGAGCACTAGGCAGACAGTAACGACTTGGCAATACACACACGGGAAAATTTCGCAGTTTAACTGTGTTTTCAGGGCTTATCAATTTCAAGATTTTATTTTTCACAAATTAAAATAAACACCAGAATAGTAATTAAAAAATAAATGAGATTTATTCCTTTCACTTACTAAATTACAGCATATTTTCCAAAATCTTGATGCTCGTGGAAGTTCACATGCACTTGAAGAAACCATCTAGACTCCAACATGACAATCACTAAGACTGCCATGGCAGCTCTTGATCAAATGGTTAGAAAAATTTTGTTACTGTCTAGTTGGAAATAAAGCTATTTCATTTCTTGTGTGAGAACACACAGGTCTGCTAAGTGAGATTTTCATTAGAAGAAAAATTTATATTCACACTTTTAAATCAAAATACTGTTCTTGTTGTCTGATAATCAGAAATTTGAAGTTTCTTACTTCAGTATTGGAGTTAAGTTTGGTTGGAACAAAACAAGTTTAATACGAAACCAACATTATTCAGTCTTACAACTTTGTAAGACCCTCTCCTTTCCTTTCCCACCCCCATACAGCAGCTACAGTTTAAGACTGAAGACAGCCAAAGAGCCCAAGGAGTAGACAGCACACTGATTACCACACAGGTGAAGGTACTTGCTGCACTTTCATCAATCTTCATTTTGCTTTATTAAAAAAAGCTAGATGCTTGTTTTTCACTTAACTAAAAATTCAGACCAAAGCCAGTTGCTGTAATCAGCTTGTATTTAGTTAGCAAATTAAACCGTGCAAAAAGGCACATAGCCAGAATCTCTTACTCAGCCTAAAGCCAGATGCTGCTAACAGAAAGCATTTGGTTGGGGACTGCTACCATTTGCAGACAGTCCAGCAAATCAGGCAGATCATACAGTTGTATGAAGGCACCTCAAACCTACTTAAAAATGTTGTTTCTTGCTTGTGTGCTTCATGCAAATGCAATTACTGTATTGTTTAAAACAAACTGAGGCTGCAATAGCACAATCTTGCTTGTCAAGTCATTCCTTTTAACACCTGCTGGAATTTCCACCACACGGGAACTGAGGAGGCTTACTCGTTAGATCTGCAGCTGCTGTGTAGGATCTACTAAACCCTGCCTTTGGAGTGTTAACATACTGCAGCCAAAGGACCATTCTAGCTGATCAGAAAACTACTAAGAGAAACCAGGAGAAATCTGTTACAGGAATATCTTCTATTCTGATCTTAACATAAATACACTAGAAAGCAAAGTGACTGGGAATAAAAAGAAACCCACAAACACTTTCCCCTTGTGGGCTAAAAGGGATTATAACATGAAAGCCCTTCCAGACATTCTGATGAACCTACTTTACTGTGCTACTCCCTTTCACCCTTTCAGCTTCATTATTCAAAGTGGGAGGAAAACACTAATTACAAACCCCCAAATACATATTAATGGTGTCTGTCACTCATAATTGGGTAAAATAATTTTCCTCTTTTATTGGTTTTGATCACAAAAACAAACCAAATGAAAAATGAGTTAATGCTGAAACCCTAACGCTGAAAAACAGAATTGCTAACAATGAGGAAACATCCACTGGTAAAACACTGGTGGATGGTGTTTATTTTACTTAGTAAAGTAAGAGAGTATTTCCAAACTGTTTTTAATTATATGCAATTATAGTAACAATTGTTTACAGTTACACCTACAGCTGCCAGCTAAAGAGAAGGAAAAAATGTGTTAGAAAGTGTCACCTTGATGACAATGTCTCACAGACCTTGAATTGCATATGAAAACTGTAGGAGAGATACTGTGTGAATTTTCAGCTACATAAGATCAGAGATGGGTTTGTTAATAAATAGCACTTTCAGGATGCAGCAAGAGAGACAGCTAATACTTTGAAGTGAGAATAGGGCTATCAAACCCAAAGCCTAGCAGCAGAAAGAGTGCATTAGTTCAGGTAACTACAGTAACATCCTTCCCACTCTACAGAAGCAAGTTCCCCTATACAAGGTAGGAACATATTTACCTTCCTTCCTTCCTGTACTGGCTTATTCAAGGCCAGCAGAAAGTGTTTTTGATGAAATAATGGAGCTAATGGATGAAGTTCCCCCTTAAAGAAAACAACCCTCATTTATCTTCCAGACTATGACCTTGTACATTGCACTGAACAGTCTATTTTTAGTACTCCAGCCCTTAAAAGATGTCCAATTCCTCCTCCGCTGCATCCTGAAAGTCCTATTTATTAACCAATTTGTATCAGCAGTTTGCCTCCTCTTTATGTCCAGATGTTCAGCAGATAAATGATAGATGAGCTGACTGTTTATTCCACACAATCGCATTTGCACCCTTCAGCTGATGCATTGTATTTTGGAGAGCAGGAAGGGTAATAGCTTACGTTTACAGACTCACAATTTTTGAAAGAATTGTCAAGAATCAGACTTGCATAAGAAACAGTTCTGTATAGCTTCCCAATTACTTAATCTGCCTGACTACATACTATGCTATTATCTTGGTATGTTGTAACATTTTACTTTCAAGGATAGATATTTGGACCAATTTGCACTTCTAAAAATACAAGGGAATTGAAAAAAATAATCTGTATATGATTTTGAAATGGACTGTTGCACAATTTAAAGAATAATTGACTTTGTAAGTTCAAAAACATATTAAAACTTAATTACTTTTGAGCAGCTTTGTTTCACAAAAAATAAAGATTTTCAAGATTTACTACTTTAAATTTCAAAACAGTAACTCAACAAGTCTATGTCCTCAGCTGCAAGAACAGAGCCTGCATCAAAACACTTCTAGTGATATTCTGCAAAATGTTACTACCATTCTATAATGACAAGGGACAGAGGACTCCATAAAAATATTGTTCCCATCTTTCCAGAGGCTTAGTCAGGTAGTCAGAAATACAATTAGAGAAAGTACACGGGAAAATACAGTGAATGTACACAAGGCTTATAAGAATTTTATCAGGAATGTATGCGACGAAAAGCTTTTTGTTTACTCCAAAACCTCTGCTGAGATGCATGTGCTCCATCTCTGCAGTGTTCAGCCTAGAAAATTAGAAATTCTGCTAAACAAAGGAAATTTCACTAGCAAAAGTGTACACTTATTTACTGGCCTTGTAGAGGCAGTAAAAGCTAATGCCACGTGGTTATAAACAGGTATTACCAAGCAATGGTATGGCACCAGAAAGCCTAGCAACAGGAAGACAGTATTATTCCAGTGAAAACACCTTGTTTTATGTGCTACTGCGTATGTTTAGAATCAGTCTGGCACATAGTAAAATTTTCAAAGTTAATTTCTTAATATTGAAAACCTGATATAACTCTGCGTTTTACAATAGTAATGCACATTATGCTGATCCGGGAAATTCTTGTTAGGCTGTTAGCGATGAGCGCTGCAGCTCATGCTCTGGCAGACAGCTTTCACATTGAAAACATTTTAACATTCTGGGAGCTCATTCCAGATGCCACTTTGAATGCGATGCATAAGCCCCTACAATTGTGAAAAACAAAGGTTTGACAAAGCAAAAAACACCCAGGCACTATGAAAAAAGTCCCTCTGCTAATTGGCTTTCAACTGAATAATACAGCAGTAATTTTGACACAGCCACAGATAGTAAACACTTGAAAAATTAAGAGACTAACAACTGGAACTAACCATTTGGAATACAGGTGCATTTAAGAACTGTCACCTTTTAAAAGCTTCTGGTTGGCATGACCACGTTCATGAAATGAGGCTCACAGGAAGGCCACGTGAAATTAAGTGTAAGGCTGTAGGCTGAGATAGTGTTTAGTAAAAGCAGGCAGTGGTCAGAATTTTACCTCCATATTCTTGTAGTTATGGCTATGTAGTTATTTTCTTTCAGCAGAAACTTGCATCTTGCCTGCTGAAAGCTCGCTAAAATTTATGGGACAATGTTGAATCCACAACTGAGGATTCTCCCCAGATGCCGTACAAAAAGTGAGAATAATTTCACCAGTTTTTATGCCTCATTCTGCTTCAAATATATGTGCTTCTCTGAATCTTTCTCTCACTAGTGAGAATGAAGTTACAACCTTTAAGGGTTTCCAATAGACAAACAGCTTAATGCTCTTGCATTATTTCATACATTACAACGAGGCACCCCCTGGGGCATTCTGAGGACAGCAGATTATCACATTTTTCCTTAATTTGGGCAACAGTCAAAGGATGCTTTCTGAAAGTCCATAGCAGAAGATAACAAAAATTAATTATAGTTTTAGGTTGACAAGAAGCTTATATTTCCCTTTGTAATATGTGAATCTAGCTTGCATAATATTAGTAATTTAAGAACGGTTAAAGATAAGCTTCAAAGCAATCTCAGTTGAATTCTAGTAAAAAGGCTAAGCATACTTTAAGCAATTACTAGATACAGTAATTTACTTGCTGCACAACTTAAGCAGTACAAATTTGTGTGCCAGGTCATTATATGAGTTCAAAATCCTCCAGCCAAATCAAGCGTAATTCATGCTTTTACTTCTAAAGTAAGTTTTAGTTTGCTTTACACAATGTATAGTTCAGTCTCAGGTTGCCTGATTTCTACATATCCCTTTCAATTAAGCAACATAGCTCAACATACCAATTCTCCCTTTACTGGAAGAAACTTTAGTGGAAGGCTTTTTCTATAGTGATATCTACATCTCGCTTCAATTAGAAAAGAACACTCAATATCCCTATTTTACTGCCATCTGCTTCTGTATTTTTCATTATAAAGTATGACTTTGAAAGAAAACGTATGTCTTATTAAAAACCATTCTTGTCAGTCCTCACAAATAGCAAGAGGAAATAGTAATACCAGATCTAAGATACTTTATCTCGATACTTAACTTACTATGTGATAATAGGCATCAAACAGCCAAAGTCACAGAAGTGCCAGTTTTCAGCAACAAAAGCATCAGATGGAATTAGCTCTAATGTTGTTTCCAGTGTATTGCCTAACTGCAGGGCTAAACATGCCTTAAGTCTCCAGCTGCAGAACATCAGAAACACTTACAACATACAATTTAGGTTCTTTAAAACTGACTACTTTTTCATGACAAAGCTTATAAGTAACGGCATGAAAAAAGCCATAGGGGATCACAACAAACATTCACCTAACTTAGTACTCTGTCTCCTCCAGAGGCCAGAAGCATGTACTTAGGCAAGTCTATCAGAACAGGGCAAGCATGTACAACACTTCCAACAAACACGCACTTTCCAAAAATTAGTAACTTTGATCATGAAAATAAGTTTCTCTGCATAAACTGTCCCAGCATCTTCAACTCTCTACTTTTAACACCCAAGCGATGTGTTTTAATTCAAGACAAGCAAGTGTTTTGTTAAACGCATAGATAAACTTGCAGATAAAGTCTCCTTCAAGCACTGCTGCGCATTCTCATATATAAAGTTTAATATTTTAGGATTCCTGTTAAATATCAAATACTCCAGAAAAAAAAGTATCTGTTTCACTAACATTTTAAATTAATCAGTAACTCTCTTCTGTAAGACAGTTAACATTTACTTTAAGCTACATCCATTTCTTTGCATCTCTACATAAACTTTCAGGTTCTCAACACTATGAGTTTGCAGATGCAAACTTTAAAGCAACACATTAAAACATGCTTACTCGCTACACTTCTTGTACTTTGCTTTTAACACGCATCAGCTCTACAACAGCTACAACCTGACTACATCCCTCTGACTGCAGTCACCCTAACAAAAAAAAGTTCAGTCACCAGTTGGTCCTGAGACTCCTGGGAGAGACATCAGTAAAGGCAACAATTACCTGCATCAGTTTCCTTGACAGCTCATTAGTAAGAAATTCCTCTTCCTTTTCATAGTTTACTGCAAGTGTTTCTTTTTCCTTCTGCAGAGCTTGAATCTTCTTAAATAAAGTATTACTGATGAATTCCTCTTCCTGCTCTGCCCTTGCTTGCTGTGAAGTAAAGACACAGTAAAAAAAAAAAAAGCATTAAAAGCTGCAATTATTTCATTCTCCTTTAAATGTTTCCACCTTTTTTTTTTTTTTAAATTTTGCCCATCATCCTGAAGAACAGTAGGCTGGATCTAAGCTGTTACCATCTCCTTTTCTAACATTATAACACCTTTCTTCCTTTTTTTGTGCCCATCTTTCAACTCTGGAAACTACACTGGTTCTTTAAGGTGGCCTCCCTCCAACCAAATGCACAAACCCCAACCTTTTAGACTCTATAAAAGCATCACTGATTCACAGATATCTACTTTTATCTACTCCATTCCTAAAAACAAACTCCTCTCTAAACGTTCTCCATTACCAGCTGAAGCACAGCTCTGAGTCTGCTGTGCCTTCTTTCCTGATCCCTTAGACTGCAGCCTTGCTTTCTAGGAGCCAAGCAACATTTATTCTTTCACCCAGATATGCCTTGCTTCTGAGCCACAGGCAGCACAGCTCATCTCTTGAGGATTTCTACCCACCCACCAGCCCAGGAAAACATATTACTTCTCAGAACTGTTACTTCACTACATACAACAACAACTTTAAAAAATGCCATGTGGTAGCTCTAACCTGAGGACTTCCAAATTTCACAAGAGGATAGCTACTCTGGAAATCTTCCTCATGAAGAATCACTGGAGAAGACAATTTCCATTTCAGCTGTCCTCCAGCACCTAGGCACTGCTCCACAGAAAGCCAGCCTGTGAGCTCGCTCCCTTGCGCTCCCTGAAGTTCAGATGCTCATATCTTTTTTTAATGTGTATATTAGAAACTCAATAAATGGAACACAGAAGATATCTTTTGGAAGTCTGCTCTAAAAGGCCACGAAGAGTATTTCATATGGGCAAATGAAAGACCACAGCTACAAACAGGCAGAGCCAACTCTTAATTCTACAGTCCAAACACAGCCCAGAACAGCAGAATGACATAAATACAGAATTCCCTTCAACAAATGAGACAATGTAGTGTTGAGGAGTGTTTTCGTCCCCTGCAATAAAACCCACGTCACTTGAACTCCAGATTTGAGATTTGCCCTGATTCTAATAAAATGATACCAGCTTATAGCTTACAATATGTAAAGATTCAGTAAGTTTTATTTCAGTAAAATCTGACAGAGGAAAATTTAAGAACTGAAACAGAACCATAACTAGAATTTTACTGAGAGCTTGGCTTCCATAATGTTCTGCCCAAAAAATTTCATTATGTCAGGGATCTTTTAACTGGAATGATATATTCCCTAGTAGTCCTTGAGACAATTACTTAAACAGAGACACCTTCCATGCCCACAAGAAAAGTTACTTAAAGAACACAAATGTCTTTAAATTAGTGGAACAACAGAACAATTGTAAATTTTCCTCATGATATCACCAGTATCATAAAATCTAAGCAGTGGTTTGGAAACTTCTCAGTTGATTCCTGCTTCCATCAAGTCCTTCTCTTCACATCCTTATCACTGTCTTCTTGTGTCTTCTCCCATCTCTATTGTTTCTTTTCTTGGCCCTTTCATACTATCTATCTGCCACGGGCTCCCTTCTCTCTGCCACCAGCAGTGCTGGCACAAACCCAACCTGAAAAAAAAAAAAAAAAAGAAAGGTCTGGCACAGTTTAGCTTAGAATCTTAGGTCCTGCACACCTCCTCTCTAATGTTTGTGCATCTCAATGGCAGAGAACCACTACTCCAGCACGTTCAGCTTTGGTATTATGACTTGTCACATCAAGACAATGTAGAGATGCCCAAGACCTTTGAAGAAATGCTAAACTGTCAGCTCACATCTCAGAGGATTAAAACTCAAGGAATCTTACTGATTTCAATAACATCATCTATCACTTTCTAAATGTGGCTTTACTTAGAGCTACTAATAATCTTACATCTTCAGAGATGTTTTGGAACAGAGTAAACAAGTTCATTGTCTCCAAATCATGAAATTTCATGCATGCGGTTCCAAAATCAACTCCTCCATTCCCTTCACCACGCAGGATTTCTAAAGGTGTCTGCTTTTCAGTGATTATCAGACAATAAAAGACAGTAACACGGACCAAGCTTACCTAAAATTAAAACAGAAAGCACTTTGTTCTGAAAAAAAAAACCCACCCCCAAACAATCAGGGTGTTTCTACTTTGATTTTTGTTCATCTCTAATTTGCACAGATTTGTTCTGCTCATGCTTTGCACCAGTCAAAAGCTCTAAAAATCACATTACTACAGCAACAAGTCTGCACAACAGTTCATAGCCAGATCCTGGTGTTACATTAATGATGGCTGCTTAGGCCAATGGAAACACGCTGCCAAGATCCCAGCCTGCTCCTAGCCAAACAGCAATGCCCCTCCTTTGTGCCTGCTCGGGTGCTCATGAGGCCAGGCTGCAGGCCAGCACAGGCAGGAGACACCCAAAAACTAATCTTTTCCCTTCCTCCTCCCATTTTTCCTTCACAGATCTGCTTCCTAAACCGGCATACCATACAGGCAGAGTGTTGGCATGCAGCAACTAAGAATGAAAAGCCACAATTTAGACAACAACCCCCTCTGCCTGCGCCGTGCAGGACGCTGGCTTGCATTCAACTGTCTCAAAAGAAAAGCTGAGTATAATTACATCTGCCTACATTAAACAAAGAATATATTTCTCAACTGTACAAACAACAGGAACCCTACAAATCTAAGTATGAACTATAAGTTCCAGACATCCACACATCATATTTAATACAATGAACATCCACTTAAATTACCCAAGGGTCAGCAATTTCAACACAGACATTTAAGTCAGAAAACATCAAACAATTATTAAGACTGGGTACAAAAGCGCATGATGCATTACCGTATTTGTTTTAAATTCACATAATTTCATTCTGAAACTCTCCCTTCCCCTAGTTAATTGTTACTTGGCAATAGTTCAACTCTCTTAAGTAATAAAATAATTCCCATTTACCTTAATATTGCCTAAAACTTGAAATCTGCTACTCATTTAGCCAATATTCTAACTGATGTTGTAAAACAGTCATTAAAAATTAGTTTTTAATACTATTTCCTGCACAGACTCTGACACTGCAGTATTTTTCTGGATGAATATACTTTTGTGTTTCCATATGAATAATCTGCCTTTTTATTAAGTATCTGCATTTGAAAAGAGGCTCTGATATCAGCTAAAAAAGAGAAACAGAGCATGGAAATCAGAGATAGTAGGTCTTCTATGAGGGTAGAGATTTCTTAGTTTTTCCCCCTATCATTCATATCACATTCAACATCCCAAAACACTAACAGCAATTCACTCTGTTTTGTGTACCATTATTACAAAACAAATTGCTAAGGCGCTGAGTGATATAAAATAACACCCAATCAGTCAATCTCTGGAAACCTGAAATATGTAATCTACTTCCACCACAGATATTCTGCATAACCACAGTCACATCCACCTGTCTCCTGTGTCTCAAAACTCCATGTATACCTAACTGAGCTTTTTATGGATGCATCCACTATGGAAAATTTGTAATTACTGTAGTCAAGACCATAAATGGCAAAGATTATCATGTTACTTTCAAGAAATCAAGAATGAAGAGGGAAAAAAAAAGCACTTCATGCACATAAAACACACAAAACCTCTCATATTTTCTAGGAAGAAAAATCCTATTCTTTCTATTGCAGTAGCATGTGAAATCCTGATCACTAGTTGAGCTGATGTGTGAAGTGTTGTAATAACCCGTCCTTGAGAGCTTACAACCCAATGAGTTAATTTTAAAAGAATTAAGAAACATATTTCTCCTAAACTTTATATAGTAGCTGAGTATTGTATTAGGAAGCAAATCTCATTAGAAGTTATTTTTCCACATGCTGCATATACTAGCACAAACTGTGAAGTTTAGTGTTAGAATCTTTTTCTGCTCTCAGTTCTTCTTCCTGTAAATATACCTTCAGCAGATCAAGTTCACGCTGCTAGACCTCCCTCTGCCCTCTTGCTTCTAGTACACGCAGCAGCTTCTGCTTACAGTGGGATGCTCTCTTTCTGTATCACTGGACCATACCCCAACCACACTGCTCTAGTAGCACTATTGTAAGAAGCAGCAAAATCCAGTATTGCCGATGAGGCACCAACTTGAACACACTCAAATAAAATAAAATAAAAAATAATTAAAAAACCAACCACTAAAAAAACAAATCACAGCTCTCTATGCTCCCTTCTCCCCTCAGTTAGTTCTTTAAAAGCTTCACAAACCTTCCTGATATTTCACAATTACAATTAATACCTACTCCTTAGTATCAATACAACATTATCAGTGATCTGACGTTACGAAGTTCTTGCATTTTAGTTTCAGCTCTCACTTCAGACATGATTTCAGAAACAAGTGTTTCACAGACTGTTCCAGTCACCTACACTCGATTACCTGAAAGCCAGATGCCAAACACGCCTGGCTAGCACACTGACAAAGCATCATCTGTCTCTAGTAGCATCCAGAGTAGACGTGACACTAGATTTCAGTTGGAAATGGCCTACTAAGCACTGTTTTGATCTAATCCACTCTTGAAGGTCCTTCATCTTTAAGGCAAGAGCCACCATGACCTCTTTACCATTCACTCATCTTTTTATGGTGCAATTTCTTTTGACAGGACCCTATGGACAATATAAACCTGCAGATGGAGCTAAAGAGCAATTTAATTTGGTTGCTGTACACAAGAAACTCAATCTTTGCTACTGAATATAGACTGAAAGGTTGGGACGGCTTCAGGAAGAGATGATCTCAGTTGCTGCACATGTTACACTGAACTAAAGGTGTCACTTCAGAAAGCAGCCTTTCCAAAAGTCGTACTAGAAAGGATAACGAGGTAAAAAGGGTGTGAAGTACAGAAAGTTACAATGGCATGATCTTAGAAATTGTAGTTTTTGCATAAAATAAAATCTAAGTTTCCCAGTTCTCCTAAAGTACACACTCCTCCTCTAGCAGTACTGACTCAAGTTACTGCTCTGGCTTTACTTTCTAGCACTAGTTTAAAATGGTATGGAAAACTATTGGTCTACAAAAGCAAGGAAACTACATGAGGAACTTTTATGCTGCAGCTCTCCCAGGCTGGAGCTATTTTTTCCTAA